AAGGATCGCCGGAGCCCAGCAGTCGAGGCTGCGGTGGCCGGGAGTGGCCACTGCACTCCAGTCTGGGCGGCAGAGTGAGACTCCAACTAAAAAAAAAAAAAATTATCAGCTACATTAAAAGGACATGTCCTTAACTCACGTCTGTCTGTAGAGCTCTGTGAGGAGATGGACGCAGCACACACGTCTTCTCTCATACACAGAAGTGAGATGGCTTTCCAAAGGTAGGTGACTGGCCAGAGTGTTGGAATTCCGAGAGCTGCTCCAGATATTTCTTTTAGAAAAACAGTCATCACTGGCCACACATTTCAGTGACATAGAATGGGTCCAAAACTTGCTTGTGTGACATATTTAACCTTCTCCAGGAACTCTGTCTGTCACTGCGGGAGAGTACCGCAGCTGTGTTGGCAGATAAAGTGGCTACATTCAAAGCCAAATAGGAAATACGGAGATGGCAAGCGAACGTTGGGATTTTTGACACGTTTTAAACATCAGCAGAGATTCTGAAAGAGACTGAGCCAGGACCGTCTTTCTCCCAGCTGGTGCATGGTCGCCTGCGTCCGCTTTCAAAAGTTTGAACATCACTGCCCAACTGCGGAAGACCCCCGGACTGGGAATGAGCCAGGTGAGTCGACGTTGCCCATGCCAGAAGGGGATCAACTGCTTGAGATCGCAGATGACGGTGGCCTTTAAAGTAGACAATCTCAAATCTCCCTACGTTCTGGATTAAAGTCGAGGTGGGATATCCTGGGACTGCCGTAAAGGTACTGAAAAGGCTGTTTCCAGTTCCAACACCCTGTCTTTGTGAAGCCAGGCTTTCTGTGGTGACAGCAACCCATACGAGATGACGGAGTAGGCGGGACATAAGCAGCACACTTGGGATGTCACCGGTGCTCATCACCCCTAGATGGGACCATCTAGTTTCAGGAAAACAAGCGCAGAGCTCCCACTGATTCTGCATGATAGTGAGTTGTGTGTCATTTCAGTATATATCACACTGTAATAACAGAAATAAAGAATACAATAAGTGTAATGTGCTTACATCATCCTCAAGCCATCCCGCCTCCCCCTTCCCTGTCTGTGGGGAAAATTGTTTTCCGTGAAACTGGTCTCTGACGTCAAAACGGTTGGGGACTGCTGCTCTGGGGAATTTCTTCCTGCTTCGTGAATCGTGCTTGTTGTCTCTGGAAGCTTTCTTCTTTCCTTCCTGTCTTATTTTCCCTCCCTCTCTTTTTCCTTCCCTCCCTCCCTTTCTTCTTTCTTTTTCTTTTTCAGTACCGCTGTCTACTTTTGCTCCGGGGTGTGGCAGAGCTGTTGCCTTTCACTCACGTTTGTGTTGATGGGGGCGGCTCTGCCCTGCTTGTTTGTCCTGATTCTGCCTGTGCTCAGACTCCAAGCAGGTAATTCTCCCCAGCCCCTTCCCAGGTTTTATCTGAGAACGTCATTCTCCCCTGTGAGCTAAGGTCTGAAAGCCAGTTACGTTTTCCGCTTTTTCCGGTGTGGGAAGGGGAAAGTCTTGCCGCTGGATTTGTTGGGTCTCCTCGTGGATTAGGGGGGATTCTGGCCATGGAGGAGATTCCAGCCTCGCCCTGGGCCCTGAGTGCTGGAGCCTAGGCCTCAGGACAGCGGAGCGTCCAGCTCTTTCCTTCCTTGCTCGCACTGTCCTCCCGGCCTTGTTTCTGCCATCGCCTCATCCGAAGACAGCAAACTCCATCTGTGGCGTGGTTTTCCTCCAGACTTGTGTTGGCAGTGACGATGCCAGGGATTTCATGATCCAGCAGCAGGGCTGGTGGGAGCAGCCAGTACCTCACCATGCCACTCCAGGCTTCTCCTTCTTGGCAACTGAATTTAGACATCTGTGGAGCTGGGCTTTGGACTTCTTGTTTGGCCACTTCCAGCCAAATTTTTGCTGTTTTACTTTTTTTGTTTTTTATTTTACTTTTTTTGAGTTGGAGTCTCACTCTGTCACCCAGGCTTGAGTGCAGTGACACGCTCATGGCCACCCTAGTGTCGACCTGCTAGGCTCCGGCGATCCTTCCGCCTCAGCCTTCCAAGTAGCCAGCACTACAGGCGCGTGCCACCCTGCCCGGTTAATTTTTGTTGTATTATAGAGACGAGGTCTCGCCAGGTTGCCGCCAGGGCTGGTCTTGAACCCATGGGCTCAGGCAATCCACTCACCTCGGCCTCCCAAAGTGCTGGGATGACAGGCTGAGCCACCGAGCCCAGTAACAGGCAGGACTCCTAGGAAAAGCCTCAGGGTTGAGTCTCACTGGCCTAGTGGAGGCCACATAGTCTTCCATGAACGAAGCACAGAGCCCAGGGTGGGACACTTAGACCGTCTGGGCCTGAGTCACGTGCCAGGGTGAGGCCAATCCCACGTGGGCTGCTTGGACTGGCGATGGCCGATGGGTCGTTTTCCCGGAGAAATGTCAGTTCACTGCTAGCAGAAAAACGGAGAGTGAATTAAGCCCAGGTTTGGTGGCTTCATGAACTGCTGAGTCCTGGTGCTCACCCCGGGCTGTCGGAAATGTTTCTCTTTCCTGCGCCTTCTCCCTCTCCCCCTCCCCCTCGGCATAAAAACTAGGTGTTCTCCATAAAGAGGTCTCACAGGCCACCCACTTCAAACCCCTTGTTTATCCATGAGACAATGAGACCCAGAGTAGCTGAATGGCTTTCAGAGCCAATCAACTAGGCCAAAACGTGTGCAAGTGCTTATTGGGCATACAGCAGGAACTCCTTTGAAATCGGATTTCGAGCCCAGGAATTTGACACCAGCCTGGGTAACACAGTAAGACCTGTTCCTACAAAATATAAAAATTATTCAGGCTTGGTGGTGCATGCCTGTAGTCCTAGCTACCTGGGAGGCTGAGGTGGGAGGATCACTTGAGTCCAGGGTCTCAAGGCCGTGGTGAGCCAGGACTGCGCCACTGCATTCCAGCCCGAGCCATGGAGCCAGACCCTGTCTCTAAAAAAATGAAAAGGTTTTTCCCTTCTGTGCAGTCTGTAGCTTTTGGAGCCTCCATCAGCGGTGGTGGGCAGTCGTGTTCGTTTGCTAGGGCAGCCATAACCAAACACCACAGGCTGAGTGGCTTAGACCGACGAGGTTATGTTCTCACGGCTCTGGAGGCTGGAGTCTGGGATCAGGGTGTCAGTGTGTGGTTTTTCCTCTCTCCTTGGCTTGCAGATACCGTCTACTCCTGTGTTCCCATGTCTGCGCCCTCCTCTCCTCCTCTGCGGAGGACAGCAGTCATGCTGGATTTGGGCCCACCCTGATGACCCCACCCCCAGGCCCAGACCCGCCTCACTTCTCATCGGTACCTGACCTTCACTCTGTCGCCCAGGTACACTAGACCTGACACCTCGTAGGTTGGAATGTGGATCTACCAGTGCGGTAAATCACGAAAACAATAGAGAATTGCCCAAAAAGCAGACACCGTCTTCCCGGCCGTGTTTCTATCATCACCTCGTCCGAAGACAGGAAACTCCATCTGTGGTGTGGTTTTCCTTCAAACTTGTGTTTAGTAGTGAAGATTCCAGGGATTTCATGATCTAGCAGCAAGGCTGGGTGGGAGCGGCCAGTACCTCACCATGGCACTCCAGTCTTCTCCTTCTTGGCAGCTGAATTTAGACATCTGTGGAGCTGGGCTTTGGACTTTTTCTTGTTTGGCCACTTCCAGCCAAATTTTTGCTGTTTTACTTTTTTTGTTTTTTATTTTACTTTTTTTAAGTTGGAGTCTCACTCTGTCACTCAGGCTTGAGTGCAGTGACATGCTCATGGCCACCCTAGTGGCCCAAATCTAGTTAGGAATAACTTTATTGTTTTTATTTATTTATTGGAAAATATAGTTTATTTAGGAGATAAATGAGAGAGAGAGAGAAAAAGAGAAAGAGAGAGATTCACTTCTCCAAGGAAGGGGAGGAGGCCAACGCTAGGAAACCTGGTGACTTTAGCTCAAGGAGCCACTTAGGCAGACCATAGCTTATTAGCAAAGCAATGGCTAGAACGTAAATCAGAGAGAGAGACGAGAAAGAAAAGATTTACCTCCCCAAGGTGCAGGAGGGGGCTGTAGCTCAGGAAATACTGCTGTAGTCACAGCTAACGAGCACATGGCCACACCAGAGGTCAAATGCTTTTAAACTTTCCTCTTTGATGGGGGCAGGTCGTTAAGATGGTTGGGTGGTGGTCTGCTCCACATCATCATGGAGGGCAGGTAAGCACAGGCACTGACCAAAGGGGATGGACTGATGGGTGGGTTGTCACATGACAGTTGCCTTAGTGATGGGGGGTCTGTGTCATGAAAGTCATGAAGAGCTGATTAACTTGTTTGCAGAACAAACTGGGGAGGGGTTCGTAAAGCAATGATCAACAGCTGCTTTGAGAAACTGGTTCTGTCTTGGCTGATGCTTAGAGGGTGAAGACAAGCGAACTGCTAGAGAAACACCACAGATCTGGGCAATGACAAAATGACTGCTCGTTGAGTATACTGACTCCATGCTATGTCCTTTTAAGGGATGAGTTATTTAAAAAGCAAAACATAAAACTTTAGCTATATGACGTACTTGGTCATTGTAATAAAATTACATAAAGCTTCTTGTCAGAAGCAAATATGTGCCTTTTCTCTTAAGGCACTCATGCTCTTGCTGAGTGTGCTTTTTTCTTTCTAATAAATGTTTTCCAAAGCTATACTTTGGATTTGCTCTGAAATTATCTTCTGTGGAGACACCAAGAACCCATGGAGCAGCACAGCACATGCACCGGCATCATCTCAACAGATTGGTAGGCTGTGGGCGTCTTTATCTCTCATTATCAGTGTCTTCTCCAGATCGAGGGGGGCCTCACCTTCCAGAGCCCATGAGCTCTGACAGTGTGGAAGTCACCAGCGAGCCTGAGGATATTTATGAACTCTGATGCATTCTGGCTTCCATGTTGCGACCATTCTTGGGTTGACTGAATGATTTGTGCTGTCATCAAAGTTCCTAAAGTGAGTGCTAATTTATTCCAGGCTCAGGCTGCATGAAGAAAAGGTTATTAAGGATAGACGGCATCATCTCAAAACCTACCCAAACTGTTTTGTTGCCAAAGAACTGATTGACTGGCTGATTGAGCACAAAGAGGCATCCGACAGAGAGACGGCAATTAAACTCATGCAGAAGCTGGCAGACCGTGGCATCGTTCATCACGGTGAGTGGCGGTGCGTCCAGGGGACTGAGGCCGGCGGTCCCGGGTCTTTTCGGGGACCCACCTGAGAGACGGACCCACCTGAGAGACGAGACGAGCCCTTCTACTCAGGCGGCCTCCCGGGCCCTTCTCCCGGCTGCTTCCCTCTTCCTTCTGAGAGGTGTCTGGGGCATTTCCATGCGCTTCTTTGTGCGTCTTCCTGTGCGTGGTTGAGCCACACATCATGTTGTTTTACGAGTTTTAGACCACTGTAGATGTGTGTGTTTATTGCTTAGCAACCCGAGCCACACTGTTGGTGAGATTCGTCCCCGTGATGGCGGTTTGTGTGTTTTGCTGCCGTTTAGCCCGACGGGTCCAAACAGCCCGCCGCCGCTTACTCGTTCTCCTGTCGAGGGTGTGTGTGTAGTTTCCAGGAGGGTTTTGTCTCATTATGCTGAATTTTCTGCATTCCATTTTGACGTTTTTCCTGATCTCACGAGATTTCACATTCTATGAGGCTGATGTCCTAGCGTCTCGCCCAGAAAGACACAAAAGTGGGTTGAGTGATGAAGTGATTTTGTGAGTCCTGTACTAGATGATGGAGGAGGTGGTGCTGGTGGTGCTGATGCAATGCCGATTGCTAGTAACACTGAGCGCTTGCTCTGGGCCAGGGACGGTGCAAGTGCTTTACATGCATTAACTTGTACAGTGGATACTTGCGTGCGTGAGGGCTTATTTTAGGCAGTGAAATGCTTCTTATCGGCATCTTCCATCACCTGAGTGATGGAATGCACGTGCTTTTTCCTAATGACCCTGTGCTGTTGTGTTTCAGTGTGTGACGGCACTTGCGTCACTTGGGTTATTGAACACGTGTGCTTCCTCCTCACAGCCCCCGTGCTGTCGTGTTTCCATGTGACAGGCACTCACGTCACTTGAGGGCTTGAACAGTGTGCTTTTTCCTCATGGCCCTATGCTGCCGTGTTTCAGCGTGTGACGGGCACTCATGCCACCCGAGTGATTGAACATGTGTGCGTGCTCCTCATGGCCCGTTGCTTTCATGTTTCAGTGTGTGATGAGCACAAGGAGTTCAAGGACGTCAAGCTCTTCTACCGCTTCAGGAAGGACGATGGCACCTTTCCGCTGGACAGCGAGGTGAAGGCCTTCATGAGAGGACAGCGGCTGTACGAGAAGTGAGTCCTGCAGGCTCCTGTGTGGTCAAGGGTGGAGGCAGATGGGGTTGGTCTTCACCCTGCTGTTCCAGCTGGTCCTTCTGTGGACTCTTACTTGTGGCTACTGTCCTATGAGGAACCTCTGTCACCCATGTACTTTGCTCTTTGCCAGAAATTAAGTGGGTTTCGTAAGGTTCTTTTTTTTTTTTTTTGAGTAGGAGTCTCTGTTGCCCAGGCTGGAGTGCAGTGGCATGCTCACAGCTACCGCAGCTTCGACCTGCTGGGCACAGGTGATCCTCCTGTCTCAACCTTCCAGGTAGCTGGATCTATAGGCATGCGCCACTATGCCTGGCTAATTTTTTTTTTTAAAGTAGAGATGAGGTCTCACCAAGTTGCCCAGACTGGTCTCACGCCGCTGGACTCAGGCAGTCCTCTCGCCTCCACCTCCAGAAGTGTTGGCATTACAGGCGTGAGCCACTGCGCCCGGCTCATAAGATTCTTAGTAGAGAACTTTGTTCAATCCTATAGTCTGCTGTAAGTCTGTTTGCCCAAACTCCCAAACTCCAGAAATAGAATCCAAAGGCCAGAACGGGATGCTTCTTGCAGAGTGAGGCAGATGCAGCTTCTGCCTCTGGAGACTGGCGTGTAGCCTGGCCCCTGGCTAGGGATGGTGTTGGGGGCGGGATGGGGGGAATGGCCAGGGACGGCGGGGACAGGGGTGACGGCTGGGGACAGTGTCGGGGGCAGGGTATAGCCGGGGGGGGTGTCGGGGGGGACATCTGGGGACAGCATTGGGGGTGGCGGGTGGCGGTTGGGGCTGGTGTCAGGGTGGAGGGCTG